AAATCATTACAATGTAGTGAATCAGTTTATCATCAATTCAATGAATGTGAAAAATCATCACATCGTGAATGGAAAGTTACGATTGACGAATATGTAAGTAGCATTTAATGATTCTCAAAAATTATTGATGAAATCAAATTTCGTTTTTTTTGGAAACATAAAGTTCTATGAAACGAAACAATTTTGCTGCTTCATTTGGTGCGCGATGGCTTGTGAATTGACGGTAGCAGCAAAATGTAACCAGAATTATTCGCAACAGATCGAAACAAACACACGAAAATTATTTACATCCGTATGCGATAAAATCAGTTCAACGCAAGATAGTTGGAACTGTTGGTGGACAGAAGAAAGACAAATCAATGCCGCTAAGGTACTAGGAATTATTATTCTTTCTGTTCTTTTTATTTCTATTGTTGTCGGTGCATTCTTTGGATGTCGAAAATATCTTGCCAAGTAAGTTTTATTCTTGATTTCTAACACACTTTTCTGATCGCAAACAAACCAATCATTTTGTTTTTTTTAGTGCCAAATTAAAAAAAATTGCTAAACAAATTGAAAATCCAACCGAAGTAATAATAGATTTTGAAAAAAATAAATCATCATCGAAATTAAAACCAATTTCAATTCCAACTCCAACTCCAACTCCATCAACAAGATCATCAATATCATCCGAAACCGGATCACAATCAGGAGAACAATCATTACTGGACAATGTACTTGAAAATCTAATGAAAGAAAATGGAATTATAGACCGTGTTTTCAATTATTTTCATGTTGATAATGTGATTTCTTAATACACTGAATCAAAATTCTTAATTAATATAAGAAATAAATGAAAATTTCTGTAATGTCTTGCCAACAACATAGGGGGAAGAACATAGATGGTAAATAAACATCGATATTAGATTAATAATTAAAATCAATAATACGATAATTTTAAATTTTAAATTAACAATAATAAAAAAAAATTAACACTCACAGTGTTATAGAGAGTCAATAATTTAAGAAAAAAAAATAAAAAATAAAAGTCATCAACCTAACCTAACTGAACTATGAATCACAGTCATAGTCATTGTCATCAACCTAACCTCACTCAACTATGAATCATAGTCATAGGCATAGTCATCAACCTAACCTCACTCAACTATGAATCATAGTCATAGTCATAGTCATCAACCTAACCTAACCTCACTTAACTATGAATTGTGAATATAATAAAATTTTTTTTTCTAAATTATATTTGTTTGTTAAAATGAATGAATATTTGATTAAAATTGATTTGATTATACGGAAATCTATGGTCAAAATTCAAATTCAAATTTTTTTTTCTAGTCACAATTCAAATTTTTGTAAACAAATGTATTTGTCAAATTTGACAATGATCATTGAATGAATGAATGAATGAATATAAAATATTTTAGAAAATTGATTGGTCACATATTATCATTGAAAATTTTCAAAATTAAAAGAAGAAAAAAAACGCATCAACTTACCTTTTCTTCTTCTTCGTTTTGTTCATTTTTTCCTGAAAAAAGAAACAAACAAAAAGAAAGGTGATGGGGAGAAAAACCAGAACTACCACACATTATGAAATTGAATTTATTTCTACATTTCATTCATCATTTTTTTTCTTGATTTTTGTATATTGTTAGGGCACGGAAATCAAATAGTGAAAAAAAATGAATACTTTCTTCTTTTTTTTGGTGACAATGGACATTGAATGAATTGTCCATTTCCGATATCGGGTAATGATGATGATGATGATGATATTTTTCTTCTTCTTCTTTCAATTGTGTTGATGTTATTGATGGCTATTTCCCGGTGTTGTTGTTGCTGCTGTTGTCTAAATGATTGTCATATCAAGAGAGAAAGAATGGGCGAACAAACAAAAAACTGGATCACTTTTTTTTTGATTTTTGATTCACAAAAGTGATCCATTCTTTTTTCGTTGTCTCTTCTTCACAAACAAACAAACAAACAATCGATTGTGATGATGATGATGATAATCGATATATCGCTCACCGGGCATTTATACCGTACGAATTGTAATAAATTTTTGACATTTTCAATTTTGTTCTTATTCGATGATCATCTTCTTTTATTGATTTATTTATTTTTTTACAAATACAAATCAATATCATCATGTTTTTTCTTCAACAACAACGAAAACATTGTTGGTTATTTATTGATTTTTTAATCATTTTGAATGGTTTTAGCATCATTTTTGCATTACAATTTAATGATGATAATGATGATATGACGATACCGATATTTGATTCATATGATGATAATCAAAATGATCATTACCATCAACAACAACCAGCAACAAAATATGAACAAATAAGTGTAAAAATGGCCAAATATTTACCAATAGTAACAACTGGACAATCACAACCGATTGAAAATTTTATGAATAGAAATTCATATCGTTCGAATCGTTTAAGATTCGATGATAATATCGATAGTAATATCGATAGTGATTATCATCACCAACATCCAAAACAATCATTTCTATTTCAACCTATTGATGATCAACAACTACAACAAAAACAATCGAAACGTAAATATAGTTATAAATTATTCGATGTTTATCCGGAAATGTTATTGAAACAACAACAACAACAACAACAAATTAAACAACGACAACAACAATTAACACCTAAAATGATACGTTTTTATGAACGTTTTGATGAAAAATTTAATAGAAATTCATTTGATAATAATCGACAACAACGACCAAAGCAACAACAACAACAAATTCATTTATTAGTTGATCCAGAATATTATCAACAACAAAAATTACCATTATCATCAACGGTGGGAACATCAACCGTTGGAACAGATTTGGAACCAATTAATCTACCTGTTATAACAAGAAGACAGCCACCGATTTATGTTGGACAACCACCACCACAATCAAATTTAGAAGATAATTATTTTAAAGATTTTTATCAAAGTTTAGAAAAATTTTATACAGAACAACAACAGCAACAGCAACGAAGAAGACGACGACGACCTAATTCAAGGATAATATCACGACCACAGCAACAGCAACAACAACAACAACAAAAATCAACGTCCACAATGACAATGATGATGATGATGATGCCTGATAATGATAATAATAATGATTATTATCATCCACATACACATATACATCATCATCATCAAAAATATCCAATCATATCATGAAAAATATCATTGAGGGTAGCCAACTCTTTCAACAACAACAAAAAAACGATATCGAATCTCTCGACCTGGATATTCTGTAATGGCAGATGTTGCTGATTTGGTTTTTCCCAATGTAAAAAAAAAAAAATTCCATTTATAAACAGCAACCAAATTTGGGCCTCTTCTGAAGTTTTTTATCGAAAAATTTTACTTTTCTTAATTTTATGTTATCAAAAAGATTTTTTTTCTTGTTTCAAGGTAATTTTCATTACATAATCATCAACAACATATCGTTTTTTGTTGTTAATAAGCAATAAAACAAATTTGCTTGAAAAATTGTTGTCCATAAAATTGTTGCTAATTTCATGGACAGGTATTTTTTAAAAAAAATGTACTTTTTTTCTCACTTAAAGTAATGTCCAAATTTTTTTGTTGTCAAGCGTCGATGTTGATCGGTTTGATGAATATCGCGATATCGATTTTTTTCAGATGGAAAACTTTTTTGGCTGCTCAAATTAATCATAATGATTCAATTAAAACAAAAAAAAATTATCAGATGATCCGATTATTAAATTATTTTCTAAGTAACCAAAATAAATTCAATTTAAGAATTTTTTTTTCTTTCGCGAACAAATTCGTTGAACATTCGATTCGAATCTTGTTTTCAACAAAAAAACGATGACGACAATCGTATATGACGTGACAAGAATATTACTGAAAAAAGAATGTTGACTGTGTTTTTCCCAGAATTTTTAAAACAAAAAAACAAAATTCTTCAAAAATACTAATCTTATTGATGGGTTGATTATTATTGTTGTTGTTGTTGTTGTTATGCAACATTTTGATCAAGGCTATCCGGTATTGTGATAATGACCTTTTTTTCTTGATGCTAGAAACAAAAACCTGAACTAATATTTTTTTCGTAATGGATTAAAAGGATTCAACTTTTTTTCTTACTACTTCGTCTGTTATATTAAAAATTTGATTCGAAGAATTGATATAAATACTGGTGAAGAATTTCAACCAAGAATCATATCACATTCTCTTATTTTATTTTCATTCGAAAACATCAACAACCAACCATCAACTATCAACATCATGCTTCGAGTAAATTTATTTTTTATAATTTTTTTAAAAATTTTTATAATTTTTTTCCAATCAAATTTTTTACAATAGTTTACAATTTGTTTGGCTTTGATCGGTATGGCAACAGCAACCGGTTATATGCCATCATCAATGTGGAGTGGTTCATATGGTAGCAATTCATATGGTCGAAAATATCTTTCCGGTAATTCATGGTCCGGTAATTATGGTCTTTTCGGTGGTAATTCATTATTGATGGCTAAACCATCATCATCATTATTATTGAATACTGGTTATTTGGCTGCTGCTCCAGCAGCACAATATTATTATGCTGCTGCTCAACCACAACAACAATTATTGTCGCAAAGTTATGAACATAGTGGACCAATTGTTGCTGCTGTTAATACTGAACATAAAGTATCAATGTATGATGTACCAACAACATTATCATCATCACCATCATTGAATATTGAAGTACCATCATCAGCACCAACTGTTAATTTTTTGATGAAATCCCGTTCATCAAACATTAATGTTGAAAGTGTTCATGAAGGTACTGGTGGATCATTGAAAGAAACTAGTTCCGAAGATCAACCACATATTAATCGTCATACTGTACATCGACCAATTGTACAAGAAGTACGTGAAATTATTTCACCATATCGTCGTGTTGAACAAAAAATTAATCCAGTACAAGAACAAGTTGAAACAATTGTTCCACGTGGTCAAGCTGCTTATCATCAACAACAACAACAAGTTGCTTATGCTCAACCAGCTTATGCTCAACAAACTTTGGTTCAACCAGCTTATGCTCAACAAACATTAGTTCAACCAGCTTTAGTTCAACCAGCTTTAGTTCAAGCTAATGTCCAAGCTGTTCCAATTGTTCAAACACAAGCTATTGCATCACCAATGTATGGTTATGATTATGGTTTGAATGATTTCAGTGGTTCATCATATAAACCACAACAAGAATAATAATGATAATAACGTAAAAAAATGCTGCCGTCAAAACAGAAAACAAAAAAATGTTTCTTTTTTTTTCGTTTGTAAAATCCCTATTTAACCATTTTTTTTGACCTGCGCACAATAATTAATCTTAAATTAATGATCATTTTTTTTGTTGAGGGGGGCAAAATAAAATTATTGAAATTAAAAAACAAAAAAACAATCTTTTGATCACTTTTTTATATTTAAATTTTTAAATTTAAATTTTTTCAATAAAACGTTTATACAATACAAGTTTAGCATTATACAGGTAAACTCAATATGTATAAACTGGTCATTGAGTTTTATCAATACACACACACAATCCTTGTCATGTTGTTGGTTTTTGTATTGTGTTTGTGTGTATATTGAAAGTAAATATGGTCTAAATTTTCTTTCTTTTTGATTTAAACTTTTGTAAAAAAAGAAAAAACTTTTATCAATTCGTTAATATAAGAATTTCATTTTCCAAAACAAAACAAAACAAAAAAAAGTCTTCCCTGCTCAACTTGTAAATTTTTCTGTTGGTTGATTGGATAAAAACCGAAACAAAACAAAAAAAAAAATGGGAGCAGCTGTAACTGAAAAAAGTAAAGTTTTTTTTTTTTGTTGATAATCAAATGATATTTAACACAAAAGAATATTCTTGATTTAGATGATCATCGTAGTAGTAGTAGCCGTGGGGGTGGTAGCAGTGGTGGTGGTGATAATCATCATCATCGTCATCCACATAAAAGTAGCCGAAATAGTAATCGATCATCACCGGATAATAGCCATCGTTCATCATCATCATCACATCATCGTCGATCTCATCATAGATCATCACGTGAAAGATCATCAACAAGAACAACTCATCAACATACATCATCATCATCAACAACAACAAATCGACGTACATCACGTTCACGTTCACGTTCACCACGTCGTTCATCACAACAACATTATGATGATTCTAGACGTGAAACCCGTGATGGCGGCGGTGGTACAAGAATTTCCCGTCGTAAAAAACCATCAAAATATTGGGACATTCCACCACCTGGATTTGAAACAGTATCACCTGTACAATATAAAGCTATGCAAAGTTCTGGTCAAATACCGGCATTATTAACAACACCAGGTGTTGCACCTGTACCAATTGGTTCAACAATAACAAGACAAGCAAGACGTTTATATGTTGGTAACATTCCATTTGGTTGTTCCGAAGAAGAAATGATTGAATATTTTAATCAACAAATGCATATTTGTGGTTTTGCTCAAGGACCCGGTAATCCGGTTTTAGCATGTCAAATAAATTTGGATAAAAATTTTGCTTTTCTTGAGGTTTGTTTTTTATTTAATGAAAAATTCAAAAAAAAAAATTACCTTATCTTTCCATAGTTTCGATCAATCGATGAAACAACACAAGCAATGGCTTTTGATGGTATTACATTCAAAGGACAATCATTAAAAATAAGACGACCACATGATTATCAACCAATGCCAGGTATGACCGAAGCACCAGTACAAACACCATATGTACCGGGTGTTGTATCTACAGTTGTTGGTGATTCACCATACAAAATATTTATCGGTGGTCTACCAAATTATCTTAATGAAGATCAAGTCAAAGGTTAGTTTAATCAAAAAAAATAAAAAATAAATCGAAAATAATTTTTGTTGTTTAAATTTTTCTAGAATTATTAATGAGTTTTGGTCAATTAAAAGCATTCAATCTTGTTAAAGATAGTGCTACAGGATTAAGTAAAGGTTATGCATTCTGTGAATATGCTGATTCATCAATTACTGATCAGGTATTTGATTTTTTTTTTTTTAAATTTTCATTATGGATTTTTTCAATTTGAATTCATTTATCAAAGGCAATCGATGGTTTAAATGGTATGCAATTAGGCGATAAAAGATTAATTGTACAACGTGCAAGTGTTGGTGCAAAATCCGGTATGACTGGATCTGGTATGGGTGGAACACCATCATCATCATCAAATGCACCAAGTGGAAGTGGAGGAACAGGTGTAACAATAAATCCAGCAATTTTAACTGGTCCAGTTACAATGCAAGTACCTGGTTTACAAATAACAGCAATGACAACTGCTATTGGTAATCCAACTGAAGTACTTTGTTTAATGAATATGGTATTACCTGAAGAATTAATTGATGATGAAGAATATGAAGATATTATGGAAGATATTAAACAAGAATGTTCAAAATATGGTCAAATACGTTCAATGGAAATACCAAGACCAATTGAAGGTGTTGAAGTACCTGGTTTAGGTAAAGTTTTTATTGAATATAATACATCGAATGATTGTCAACGTGCACAACAATCATTAGCAGGTAGAAAATTTGATAATCGTATTGTTATAACATCATATTTTGAACCAGATCGTTATCATCGACGAGAATTTTAATTACTGAATGAATGATGAATTTGAAAAAAATTATTATTATTATTATTATTATTATTATGATCAGCATCATCAAAACCAAAAACAAAAACAAAAAAACATCACCTTTAGCATCACACACACAATATATTTCATCATTTTAATTAATTTTTGACTCTGTGTTATCATTTTCTTTTTCTTTTGCTTTCATTTTTCATCAATTTTCAATTTCATTTTCATTATCATCCATCACACACACACACACTGTAATAGGAAAAAAAGATGTCATTTTTTGAAAAATTCAAACATTACCTTTTTCTATTGATTAAATCATCATTATGTCATCCTCGACCCTATATCTTTAGATTTTTCGCTACTATTTCACCACCATATTATTCAACTGAAATTTTTCATTTTAAATAAAAGAAAAAATTATCAATCATGAAACAAAAATGACGATTGATGGATTCGATTAGTCATCGATTAATAAAAAAACCAAAGTCCATTGATTGATTTGAAAATGTACCATTTTTTTTAATTCGGCAATCGCGATTAATGAATTTTTTTGTGTTTCTGGAAAGTTTTTCGTCTTTTTTTCGTACATTTCGAAATGGAAACAAAAAAACTCTTTTGTTTTTTTTTATGCGATTTGTACTCTGTCAACAGAAAAAAAAGGAAAAGAAATTCAAATTTATTTTTGGGATTTTTTTTGAAAAAAAAAAAAAAATTTGGTACAAACTTTTTATCGAATGTTTTTTTTTCTGTTTACCAGTTGAATCATCGATCGATTGATGATTCACAATTTTACAATTTTTTTTTTTTTTTTGAACAATAATAATCAATCATGTTGTATATGATGCAATCGATGATACAACACGAGTACCCATTTCCTTCATCTAAAATTATACCGGCAATTTGTTTCGATGATCGATGATAACTAATTGGTGTCACATGCGAACATACTTTTTCGTTGTTGTTTTTCACTCGATTTTTTTTTTTGTTGAAATGATGCCAATTTGTTTCTGATGATTATAGGCAGTTGATTGATCAAACATTAATTTTAATTATAGAAAACATTTGAATTTTTTTTTACAAACAACCAAACAAAATCTAATCACAATCGGTTTTTGTGACAAACGAACAAAATATATTGATCATAATCGTTCGAAATCCAATGTTTATTTCCTGATTTTTTTTTGTTTTGTACCGTACAAATAGTACGTATAAAATTTTTATTTTCCGTTCGAATGTTTGTTTTTCGTAAAAAAAAACTCAAAACAAAAAGATTTGACATTCCGAAATGAATATCTCCTTTTCCTTATATCAATATTGTTGTTTTTTTTCTTCATTTGGTTGCCATGATGGCTATTTGTTATTCGAAACAAGAAACAAAAAACAAAAAAAAATACGCTTGTCAAATTTCATCATTAATCAAATATATTTGCAAAATAAAAAAATCCTTATCATCATCATTATTATCATTCGCAAATGGCCAAACCAAAAGAATGGATAAAAAAAACAAAACGAACGAAAAAAAACCAATCATGAGCAAAAAGAGAGAGAAAAAAAAATTGATTCGATCAGGCCAGATCGTGAGCCAAACAAAACGACAATTATTTTTGCCAGGAAACCAACAACAACAACAACAACATTTATCATCAACGGATGTCAAATGTGTGTCTACGTGTTTGATTAACACACACACAAACACACAAATTTCAATGACCGAGAATATTTTTTCACTATACAAAAAAATTGGTTCATTATCATCATCATCATCATCAAATAACGAAAAAAATAATTTTCTAAAAATAAATAACTTTGAGCATTTATTGAGAATATTGAATATCCAAAAAAAACGTCAAATCATATGTCTCCTTAACAAACAAACAAACCAGCGAAAAAAAAGCCGATATTTAAGATAAATATTATGGATGATAACGATTGGACGATGATTATGATTATGGTTAAGCATCTTTAAACAGAACCAGAAAAAAAGCATTTCAACAATAATGATCCTCAGAAAACGAAAATTTACAGAAGATTTTTCTCCAAAAAAACCAAAAAAATTCCTAAATCTCCATCTGCCCAGTGCCAATCAACTATTGAACTTTTTTTTCTTCTCTCTCAATATATTGATGGTAAATTTGGATTTTGAGCACAGCAAAAAAAAATATGGAAATTTTTAATTTCCAATCATCGTGTTTGTCTTATCATCAATAATAATGATTTTTTTTTTACTTTTTCACAGATCTTCCGAACTGTACTGTTGTTGATGGTGGTGGCAGCATATTGAATGATGACAAACTTTCGAAACGAAACGAAAAAAATACATTCATCATACAAAAAACAAAAAACAAAGAACATGATTCACTGATCTTCGGTCCACTTGCTATATGCGTTGTCGATGTACATTGAACGATTGAACGAAAAAATCAATATTTTTTTTTCTGCCTATTTAAATGAATGTTCGAAACCAACAATAATCATTCATTTGAAAACCTCAAGCATCAACGATTCGATCAACTTGATAAATTTTTTTTTTCTACATTTGCAAAAATATTCAAAGATTTTCTTCTAAATTTATAATTTTTTACATTTTGAAGTGAAAAACAACATCATTATGTCTTCAACAAATCAATCTGTTGTGAAATCATCACCATCAATGATGATTCATTTGGATATTATGGATCGTTTACGTCAAATTCAATTAATACAACAAGCATTAGAAATGGCTGAATCAAGTTATTCACGTATAAAACAAAGTAATCCAATGTTTGATGCAACATTAACACAGGCTGAATCAATGGCTAATCAATTAGCAATGCCAGTGATTAATAAATTAGAACAGCCAAGTAAGTTTTTTCTTGTTAAATTTTTTCCATTATTCATTGATTTGATTTTCATTTTAATCCAATAGTTCAATTGGTTGATAATTTGGCTTGTCAAAGTTTTGATACAATACAATCCGGTGTATCAATGATTTCAAAAAATCAGGTTTTTGATATGGTACAAAAACGTATGGATGATACAATGGAATTTGTACAATCAAATACAAAACAAGCACGTACAATGTTTGAACAACGTTTGGAACAAACATTACAACGTGCATATGCATTACGTAAACAAGCATCCGAACATGTTAATTCAGTAATGAATGTATCGGAAACTGTTATAAAATCTGTTGATAAATCATTGAATGCTGCTGAAAATGCTTTGGATCGTTTATTACCACCATTGAAACCTGAAACTGAAACTAATGAACAACAACAACAACCGAATGGTCAACAACCTGTACGACGATTATTTCAACGTATGGTACGTTTTTCCGATAAACTTCGCCGTCGTATTGTACAATATACATTGGAAAAATGGTATACAAATGCTGAAAAATCTGGCCTACATTTTCGTGAAAATGTTTTGAATCTAATTTCCAGTCAATTATCGAATCTTCGTTTACAAATGAATAATCTTCAGACGGAAGAAAAACCAAAACAATCATAAAAATGTGATCTATTTACTATTGATCCATTCATCCGTCTTTTTTTTCACATCCATTCTTTGTTTTTTTTCCCGGGAAGTTTTCTATTCTCAATTTCATTCGATTTTACCTGGAAATATTTTCGAATCTCATAATCGATTCGATTTTAATTTTAATTTTATATTTATTTTATCCAGTTCAAGGCATTTTCAGTCAAAAAAAAAATTAAAAAATGTTTGATTAGAATAATTTATCATAATAATGACTATATAAAAGTACAGAGTCAATAAAAAATCATTAAAAAATGTTTGTTTTTTAATAATTTAAAAAAAAAAAAAAAATTGATTATGTTATCATTTGTTCTCAATTGTTTGTTTTTTTGTCAGATGAATTTGATATTTGTTTTTTGTTCTGTTATCTTCGAGATAATGTAATCGATCTTGAATGGTAAGCCAAAAAACCTTTTTTTTTCTTCTCAATAATCATACTTTGTGCTGATCATCATCAATTTTAGCTACATGCTTTTACCTGCATGCTTGGCACCATTATCTTGAATGCCTCTTTGAAGATGTTGTTGTTTGTTGTTATGGTATGATTATTGATTGATTTTGATTTTATCTATTTTATTTAATTAATGACTTACAAAAACTTTTTTTTTTTGAAAAATCCTATAAATTGTTAGCATATTTTCAATGGATTTTAATCAAGTTTTTCTTCTTTTTTTTTCTTCTTTTGATTTGTGAATTTTGTCAATGTTGCTGTGAAAAACAAACATGAATCGCTATCTGTTTCTATGGCCAATATTGGTGGTGATACAATTATTCATTCAACAATCACGAACGGTTGTAATCAAAGTGGAAAATCTACCCGAACAATGTGATTATACACAATGCCCGAAATGGAGCAAAGATGATATTAATGTACATTTGGTTGCACATACACATGATGATGTTGGTTGGTTAAAAACTGTTGAACAATATTATTATGGCCTAAAAAATGATATTCAACGTGCCGGTGTACAATATATATTGGATACAATGATTGAAGAATTAATACGAAATAAAGATCGACGTTTTATTTATGTTGAAATAGCATTTTTTTGGAAATGGTGGCAAGAACAAAATGAAGAACAACGTATGATTGTTAAAGAATTAGTTCGTACTGGACAATTAGAATTTATAAATGGTGGTTGGTCGATGCCCGATGAAGCAGCAACACATTATAATTCATTAATCGATCAATCAACATGGGGTTTACGACAATTGAATGATACATTTGGTCGATGTGGTCATCCAAAAGTAACATGGCAAATTGATCCATTTGGTCATTCAAAAGAAATGGCTAATCTTTATGCACAAATGGGTTATGATGCATTATTTTTTGCCCGGCAAGATTATCAAGATCGTGAAAATCGTATGACAAATCGTACATTAGAACATGTATGGCAAGGATCAGATGATCTTGGTGAAATTGGTGATTTATTTACCGGTATGATGTTCAGTGGTTATGGACCAATTGAATTTAATTGGGATATAACAAATGGACCTGAAGATGCTGTTGTTGATAATCCTGAATCAGAAGAATATAATGTACCGGATAAAATTCGACGTTTTGTTGAAAAAGCTAAATATTTTGGTCAATTTTATGCAACAAATCATTTTATGTTTCCAATGGGTACTGATTTTCAATATACTGATGCACATACATGGTTTAAAAATTTAGATAAATTAATTAATGCTGTTAATAAAGCTGGTAAAGGTGTACGGGCATTTTATTCAACACCATCATGTTATGCACATGCATTATATGAACAAAATCGTACATGGACAACAAAAACGGATGATTTTTTTCCATACGCTTCGGATGAACATGCATATTGGACTGGTTATTTTACCAGTAGACCAGCTATTAAACGTATGGAACGTATTGGTAATAATCTATTACAAGCATGTAAACAATTAGATGTTCTTGCTGATAATAATGGTCAATTTGAAATGAATTTAACTAAAATGCGTGAAGCTATGGGTGTTATGCAACATCATGATGCTGTAACCGGTACGGAAAAACAACATGTTGCATTTAATTATGCAAAAATGTTAGATTCAGCAATGTTACAATGTCGTCATATAATTAATGAATCATATAAAAAATTATTACCAAAATCATCAACATCTGAACATGAATTTTGTCCATATTTAAATATAAGTTCATGTCCAACAACCGAAATGGGTGAATCACGTATAATTTATTTATATAATCCACTTGGTCATCGTTTAATTAATCATACTGTACGTTTACCAATTAAAAATGGTTATTATTATCGAATTCAAGATCAAAATAATCAATCAGTGCCATCGGTACTGGTACCGATACCAGAATTTGTACAAAAAATTCCTGGTCGTAAAAGCGTTGCTACTAAAGAATTAGTATTCCGTGTACCTGTTATTGAACCACTTGGTATAACAACAATGTATATGTATGTTGATAAAAATGAACAACCAAATTCAGCCATTGAAATTAAAGGTGAAAATCCTGATGATAATGATGATAAATCAAAATGGCAGGTTTTAACAAAAAATCTTATTGTTGAATTTTATTCAAATGGAACTATATCAAGAATATTCATTGATAAATTACATCAATCAATATCGATTTCAAATGAATTTCGTTTATATCATGGTGCTGGTGGTACTGGTCGTCATTCAGGTGCATATATTTTTCGTCCAAATGAACAGAAAACATTTCCAGTTACAAATAAAATTAAATCAACATTTTTTATTGATCGAAAATATCATATTGTACAAGAAGTTCATCAACAATTTGATTCATCATTTGTTGGTCAAATCATACGAATGGATAAATATAATGATAATGTTGAATTTGATTTTGTTGTTGGACCAATACCGGTTAATGATCAAATTGGTAAAGAAATCGTTGTACGTTATAAAACAGATTTAGAAAATGATGAAACATTTTATACGGATGCAAATGGACGACAAATGTTACGTAGACGTTGGAATTATCGTCCATCATGGAAATATAATGTTCAAGAACCAATATCGGGTAATTATTATCCAGTAAATTCACGTATTGCAATACGTGATGAAAAACAATCATTACAGATGACAATAATGACTGATCGATCACAAGGTGGTTCATTATCACCTGAACAAATTAATGGTTCAATTGATATAATGATACATCGTCGTTTATTACATGATGATTATTTTGGTGTTGGTGAAGCATTAAATGAACCAGGTGTTGATGGTCATGGTTTAGTTATACGTGGTAAACATTTATTACTTTTAAATTCAATCAAACAATCAGCATCCGAACATCGTCCATTAGCACAACAAATGTTTATGGAACCTATTATTAGTTTTACATCGATCGAATCGAACAAACAAGCCGAAAAACAATCAAATCAATATATTGGATTAAATAATGATCTACCATCAAATGTTCATCTTCTTACATTAGAACAATGGCATTCAAAACGTTATCTTTTACGTCTTGAACATTTTTATCAATCGAATGAAGATACTGAATTAAGTAAACCAGTTAAATTGTCATTAAGACATTTATTTAAATCATTTGAAATAATTGCTGTTGAAGAATTAACATTGGGTGCAAATCAACCAATATCATCGCTTAAAAATCGTCTGCATTATCGTTATAATCGACCATTAGAACAACGACAACAACAACAATCATCATTATTGTTGGATGATCCAAAAATTGAAGGTGAAAATTTCGATATTCATCTTTCACCGATGCAAATACGAACATTTTTGATCGATATCAAACGAAATTAATTTTTTTTTTTGCTGTTTGAGCTCTTTTTTACATTCTCTGTTTGAAACAATTTTCTCCAAACATATTACCAAACCAAACAAAACAAAAATTAACGACATTCGAGCCATATTTTTTTTCTTTTTCTTCCATGGAATTTTCTTATTTATAAATGTAAAACAAATTCATAAAATATAAACATTTTTATCTGTTTGATTGTTTATATTCTGTGACCTTCGATTCATTGATCATCGAGTTATCGATTGATTTGTTTATGTTTAATCTATGTTTGTTATCATTAAAAATTTTGAATTTTTGAAATTCCTATAGGAATATATGTTGCTTGTAACATGATATGCGCTATGTGATTGTTAACAATTTTTCTAAAAATTTGATTGATTTATTTACGCTAACGAATTACCCATTCTGTAAGCATTTTGTTTATTTAAAAAAATCAAAAAGATCCATATAAAAATGACCCAAACAAGTCAACAAAATTCAATTCCATTCATTGTTCAAGCATGCGCATTTTTTTTTCATACCATGAAAGTTCTCCTTCATCATATTTTCTTGGTTTTTTTTTTTGGCTCCGCCCCGAAAAAAAACGGTTAACTTGCGCATTATGTTTGTGTGAGTGTTGAGTGTTAAACACATTTTAAAAAGCGCGTAAATTTTTTTTGTTCAAGCGAATTTTTTTTTTCTTCACGCGAATTTTGTGTTTTTGCTCAAGTTCTTTTTCCCAACCAAAAAAAAAAATCAATCAATTGATTGATTGATTTCATCTTTTTCCATTTGTGTATTTATAGAATCTAAATCTTGAATGGATTATGGCTATTAACAATAATAACATCAAAAACGACCACAACAGCAAATCGAATAATATGATTTGTGATGATGATGATCATCAACAAAGTGGTGTTGATGATAATGTTGTACATCATAATGATAATGATGATGGTGATGATGATTATAATGGAAATGTATTTCATCTTATATCGAATACTCATCGACAACAAAATGTATCATTTACTCAGGAATTGATTCGTTATAATATTTCAACTGTTAACGATCATAAAATATTGGAAAATTATCATAATGAAATGATTGATTTGAATTGTGAAATTTTGGGAACATTAAAATTAATGATCAATATGCTTGAAATACCGAAAAAGTAAGTGTTTTTGTATGTTTTTTTTTCGGGTAAAAAAATAATTTTATTTTTCTTTCAAAATCAATCATAGGGTTTTGAAAATTAATCCAAATCTTTCAACACCGGTTTTTGATTCACCACAAAAATCGATTGGTGGTAATAAACGTAAATATCAACAAACACCATCAAGTACAAATGTTCGAAAAATTAAAGAACAAAAATCATCGAATCGAAAACGTATAAAAAATTTACGTACATCAACAAAAATGAAAAAACTTGTATCCAGTAATAATAAAGAAAATGATCAAAATATTGCAAATACTAATCAAACAATACTGATTGAAAAGAAACAACAAGATGAACAAACATCATTAATTTCAAAGCAATGTTCAATTGAAACAACAATCAAAGAAGAAGAAGATAATACTGTCAAAAAGAATAATTCACCAATATTTAAACGAACACGTGCTCAAGTGAAACGTGAAATGGAACAACAACAACAACAACAAAGCAAAATGTCGACTACAACTAACAAAACAATGACAACCAATAATAATATTTCGACAACTAAAGCAAAATCAAAAATAAATTCATCGATTTCACGTAAAAATGCTGGTAATAAAGATAAAGATATTGTCAACAATAGTATCAGCAACAACAAACAGAATAAAGCAAAACAAAATCAGCAGAATATTTCAAAATTAACAACACCAACCGGAAAACGTACAGCTAAAATGACAACAACAACAAACAACAATAGCAATGCTAAAAAACAACAACAACAACAAAATGATTCGATTAAAAAACAACAAAAACCTGTTGCTGCTGCTGCATTAGAAACACCTAGTGCAAAAAATATCAATTTACGAAAAGCAGTTGGTTGTGGACAATGTTCATATGATATATTGGCAACACCACCGGTATCGAAACAACGGCCGGAAGAGATTCGTGTACGATCAGCACAAAAATTAGAAAAAGCAGCTGAAAATCGTAAAATGTTATTAGAACAAAGGCAACAACAATTAAGACAACGATCAATGGATAGTAAAAATCGTTTAAAAGCTAATCAACAAAAACAAGAACAACAACTATGTAATACAAATTTAACACCATCGAAACAAACCGGAAAAAAATTGGGAGCATTTTTATTGATAACTGGAGCTAATAATAATAGTAATATTGTTGGACAATGTCTTACACCGATTCGTAAATTGAATGCAAAAATGATAACATTAAATAATAATTCATCATCGGCAAAAAAATCTACAACCAAATCATCAATACCTATTAATAATAATAATGCAAGTTTGAAGAAAACAATTATTACAAACAAAGAACAAACAATATCAAAAACAAAAACAATACGACAGGCAATTGGACAAATGAAAAAATTGGCTAATAATGAAAGAAATGTTGAACGTAATCCTTTTGTTAATGATAAAACTACCAATAATAATAATAATAATAATAATAATGGTATGAAAAATGTTACAACAACAACAGTAAATATTTCACCGATAAAATCGATAAATAATTTCAATGATGATGGTAGTGATGATAAATTTGTTGATGTAACACAAATTATAATTAATTCAACAAATAATCAATCTTTGATTCCGATTGAAACACAACCATCATCATCAATGATGAATTATACGGAAATGATGAATAAACTACCACCACCATCATCATCAACATTAAATAAAACAATATTGAAAATAATTGAACAAGATAAAAGAATGACACCACAAAAACCAACATTTATGTCAACAACAATGATGATGACAAATGTAACCAATAATAATAATAATAATAATCAAACACATCAATATCCAATGACACCACCACCAAAATTAGAAGAATCATTAATATCAACATATGATATATCAAAATATATTGATTCAGAAGATGAAGAAGAACAGGAAAAAATAATGGAACAACGTAAAGATAAACGTATACCTAAATGGGCAGCTGGTCGTTCATTATTGATAGATTTACGACAACAATATTGTCAAAATGGTAAACAATTGGATGAACAAGCTAATCGTTTATATTCATATAGTTTACAAGAAAATAATAATGTTCAAATCGATTTGGATGTAATCGGTTTACCCGTTATACCACGTTATCGTAATCGTACTAGTTCAATTATATGGACAAAACCACCAATATCACCAATTATATCGAATACAAATTATAATAATTCTTATGCTAATCTTATGTCGGAAGAAGAAGAATATTAACAACAACAACAACAAAATTGTAATTTTATTTTTATTATACATTATGTTTTATTTTTATAAAAAAAAACCATTAACAATAATCTAAATTATTTTTTTTTATCAATTTCGTTTGATGGTGGTAATATTAAATTTCCAAGATTTTTAACCAAATCAAATGATAATCGTGGTAATAATTGAACAATTATACCGGATGCAATTGTTTTATTATGTTCACGAATAGTAAATTTTTGTCCTAATTTTAATGGCATACCATATTGTAATGTAATCAGACAACGACCATGATCACCAGGCATTAATAGACCACCAGATTCTTCTGGTACATCTAAACGTGCACCACCTGACCATGTTTGTGAAAATATTTGCTGTATAAATTTATTTGATATTGGTTTATTACGGCCACCTTCTTCCGTAGAACGTAAATATAAATCGGCAATAAAATGATTTTCCAATGTTATTGTTGATGGTTTTGCAATAAGCATACCACGTTCTAATTGTGATTGTTTTATACCACGACATAATAGACCAACATGATCACCAGCTTGACAATGTTGATATGGACGGCCAAACATATGAATATCACTGACAACAGTTTTATATTGTTTACTCCAACCAAGAATTTCAGCTTGATCACCTTTTTGTAATGAACCAGTTAAAACTGTACCGATGACAACCGTACCACGACCTTGTATAGACATTGATGATTCGATTGACATTGAAAATGGTGAATCTAGATCACGTTTTGGTGCTTCAATATAGGAATCTAATGTATTCAATAATTTTTCAATCGATTTACCACCTAATTCACTTGTCTCGGTTTCATTCAATGCTTTTAATGCTGAACCAAATATAAATGGACTATGATCACCATCAAAACCAATTTCATTCAATAGATCACGTACTTCAATTTCAACTAATTCACGTATTTCATCATCAACAATATCACATTTATTTGCATAGACAATAATTTTTTCAATACCAATCTGTTTACTTAACATAAGATGTTCACGTGTTTGTGGCATTGGACCTTCGGAAGCGGCAACAACCAAAATTGCACCATCCATTTGTGATGTACCACATATCATATTTTTAACATAATCCTGATGACCAGGACAATCAGTATGTGCATAATGACGATTTCGGGTAAAATATTCAACATGACTAGCATTAATAGTAACACCACGTAATTGTTCTTCCGGTGCTTTATCAATTGAATCAAAATCACGAAATTTTGAATAACCATTCATAGCCGATATTTTTGTTAATGCTGATGTTAATGTTGTTTTTCCATGATCAACATGACCAATTGTACCGATATTAATATGTTCACGATTTTTCATTGCATCTTTTGTTGGTTTTGTTTCGGTCGATGGTGATGATTTTGCTGCTGCTGCTGTTGTTGTTGTTGTGATGAAATTTTGAATCAAAAATTTCGATGTTATTTTGGGCCATTTTTGATTCCAAAAAATAATCTGATTTTTTAAATGTAAAATTTTCATGATTTATTTAAGTTTTGTGGTTTGAATATTTTTTTTTTCAAAATAAAATCACATGATTTTTTTTCCAGTTACAAAATCTATGAACAATATTTTTTTTGAAACACATGGTTTTTTTTTGATTCAAAATTATTTCAATTTTGTTTTTTCAAAATTTAGATTGATGGATCAAATCAATAGTGATGATGATTTTGTTGATCATCATTTTAGCCATGATGATAATGATGATGATATTGATCCATTATTCGATCATTATCAGGATATTGCTCGTTCATCATTCGATGATATGGTACATGATCAAGAACGAAATGAACTTTATTATCAAGCAATTTGTCGATCAATCGAAAAACTTCGATCTTTAGATTCCAAAAAATCGATTAATGTTTTGGATATTGGATCCGGTACTGGATTACTTAGTATGATGGCTGTTAATGCTGATGCTGATAATGTTATTGCATGTGAACGTTTCGAACCAATGGCTAAATGTTCTAGAAAAATTATTGATGATAATTCTATGTCATCTAAAATTAATGTAATCAATAAATGTTCAGAACAATTAAAATTACCCGAAAATTTTCAACCAAATCTTTTGGTTGCTGAATTATTGGATACTGAATTGATTGGTGAAGGTTGTCTATCAATTTATCGTGATATTATTCAACGTAAACTTGTTGATCCGGATCATTGTCTGTATGTACCGACACGTGCAAGAATTTGGATTCAACTTGTTCAATCTGAAAGCCTATTTTATTATCATCAATTTCGAAAATCTTATCATATTGCCGACGATATTGAACCAATACAAACACCATTATCGGTTCGAAATTGTTTTGGTTCACATTTATTACATGATATTCAATTGAATAGACTTCAACCAAATATTGATTTTGAAATTCTTTCTGATCCTATGATTATTTTTGAATTTGAATTCAATCGCTTAACAACGCTAAAACATCGTGATCATAAACGTATTGAAATTCATTTGAAACGTTTATTCAATAAACCGATGATGATATTTGCATGGTGGGATATTGATCTTGATTCTGATGGTGAAATTTGTTTATCTTGTGGTCCATATTGGACACGTGGATTTGATAATGAACATAAAGTTGCATGGCGTGAACATTGGTTACAAACCGTTTATTATTTACCTGCATTTGCATTCGATCATGAACGACAATTAAATGAATTTAATCATAATCAAATTAATCAAAATCAAACATTAATTGTCGATTGTTATCATGATCAAGTATCATTTTGGTTTGATTTACCTGATCAAAATGAATCGATTGAACAAACAATCGATAATGATGTAATCGAATCGGAATCATGGCATTGTACATGTGGTTTACATTCACATTTATCACGAACAAGATTACAATGGATCAATAATAATTACCGTTATCAACAATATTGGAATTGTTTGAATAATAAACTAATGTCAATCAACAAAAATCAACTAATAAATTTAATCTATTTTGGTGATGAAAGTATCCTGCCATTTATATGTAGTCGTCATCCACAAGTCGAACATGTTTGGATCATATGTAATGATAGGAATTTCTTTAGATTTTTTCGAAAATTTTGTTCGAAAAATGATCAGAAAATTATTCTTTGTTCGCATAAAAGTTTTCGACAAAAACCTCCATTAACATATCAACAATCGTATGCCATAATAAGTGATTTACATTTTCGTAATCAATCATCAATATTATCATCATTGGAAATATTTCGCCAAATACATTGTCAACAACAATTCATACGAAATCATCAAATTGGTCCGGAATTTTTTTTACCTCAGCGAATTATTCTACGATGTTTAATTGTTCGTTTTGAACATTTATGGAAATGTATGGCACCTGTTTGTTTTGCTAAAATCAATAATAACCGAATTGAATTCAATTTACTTGAATATGATTCATTAATAATGAATGCTCGTCGACAGGTTGATTGGCAATTTGATCGTCGTTCACTTTGGGAATATAATTGCTGGTCATTGGTTGATGAAGCTAAAGATATTTTGGATATTTCAATGAATTGTTCAATATTAATGGATAAAAATAAATCTATGAATGATATTAATTCATTATTAACAGAAAATATTGAAAAAATTATCGAATTCAATATCCAGGATTATTCAAAAATTGACCCGAATACTGTTGCAATTGTTTGTTGGATTGATCAATATATTGATACGGATACAATTATCACCGGTGGATTAGAATCGAATAATGAATTATTAACCGGTAAAGAAATCAAATGGATACGTGATCAACAACAGTTGGTTACATTTTTATCATCAATTCCAAATGGTTATCAACGATGGAATAATAATAATGATAATCAATCAGAAATGAAAATTTTAAAACTAAAATTTCAATTACAAATGAATCAATTATCTATTAAAGTTGATTTGGTAATATAATCATTTCTCTTATTTTTTATAAACTTGAATGAATGATTGAATGATTTAGTAAGAAATAATAATAATTATTATTTTTCTTATAACAAACATTCACACACAATATTGTTAACTGTTTGTGTGAAAATGGAAAGTGTGAATAAAAATATTTTTTTTTTTTTTTTTTTTTGTATCTAAAAAAAACCAACCTGTAACTGAATATTGATAAAAAATATATAAATGATATTTGAAAAAAAATAAAATTTTCATGTAAATTAATAGACACATTACAATCATCATCATCGAATGAATGAATTGAATTATATAAGGTGATTTGAAAAGTTTTCAACTTTTTTTTTCACATTTCTAAAAATCTTCTCTCCCTTTTCTTTCGTAATTTGTTTATTTTTTTGTCGCGGCCATGCTTGACATTTTTACAACTTTCAATTTAGATTAGATCAAAGTTTTCAAAAATGATGACCACGATTGATGATGAAAATTTTGATTCATCAATAATGATTTTGTTGAATGGTTAACTATATTATTATGATGATGATGATGAAAAATCGATGATCTAACTAAACGAATAAATGAAAATGCAATAGCCAACAGAGATACGGCTGCATTGATCCAATTTGAACGTCGTAAATCGATATTAGTTCGACGACATAATACAACTGGTGATCGTTGTCTTCGTGCTGATGTTGATAAAATCATTTCATATGGATTTGTTGGACGATAACGATTTTGTTTCACTGATGATGATGATGACGGATCGGATGATTGTGGTGATTGTTGTTGCTGTTGTTGTTTCTTTTTGTCATCCGATGATCCACTATCAGAATCATTACCAGGCGAAAATTCCTGTGTTGATGTAACCAATGATACAGCATCTATTTCGGGAAATTTTGTCTGTTCTTGCGATTGTTGTGAAGCCAATAATTTAAGATATTGTTCAGGATTAGATTCAACACGATATTGTGAACAAATATCCTGTTGCCATGAAACTAAATGAATACCATGTGCTAACAATGCAGTACCAATTAATGTTGATTGAATAAAAATCCTATTCGGCCATAATAATCCGGTAATAATTGAACCAATACCGGTTATTATTGAATATCTTGTTAGATATTCACCAAACCAAATCCAACGTGCTGTTTCTTCACCTAAACGACATGGTTCGATCACAATAGTTGGACAACCAAATTCGAATGCACGTTCCAATTCATTTTCAAATAATTCATGTGCACCATCAAATATTTCACGTATGACAATCATTTCTTGTCCAAATTCGAAAAATGTTCTATGTTGTTTTTTTTCAAAATGAAAATTTTTTGAATTACAAATTTGGAAAATTCATCAACTTACGAATCGTCAATCATATTTTTGGGGATAGATTTTTTTTTAAAAAACAAAAGCCACCGATAGAAAAAAATGAATGGAATGTTGAATGTGGAAATGATTCTTTTCATCACACAAAATGTAGAGAAAAAATTACAATTTTTGTCAACCAAAAAAAATCATCAAATGCACTTACCCCTTTTTTTTGTAGAATGAAGACAAAAATCAAAATGAATTTGATCCGAATCAGAAATTAATTAGATGCAACAATCACAACAACAAAACAATAATAATAATGATAAAAAAAGTGGTTATCCTTCGTTTTTTTGTTGTTGTTGTGGTGGTTCCAAAATATGATTTCAATTGGGAATCATTAGAATAAAGAGTTAATGAATGTAAAGAAGAAGAAAAAATGAATATTTTTTTGCTGCTGCATCCAGAAAACTCTAAACACTAAACACTAAATATCATCATCATTTGTACCACACATTCAATCGATAATCGTAATGATGATGGTGAACATTTTTGTTTGTTTCCCTAATTTTTTTTCTTTTTGTTTGACGATGTTGATATGATGATGATGATGATTATAAAATGTTGATAGCATCATAAACCAACGACGACGATAAAATTGCTAAACAACAACAACAACAACATCAACAAAAGAACAAACAAAAACACAGCTGAAAGTTGGATAATAATAAAAAAGTATAGAATCCGTTCAAATAGGACGTTTTTGCGTATTTTTTTTTTTAAAAAAAAAAACATCTTTTTATTTGAAATTTTTCAAATGAAAAAAAGTAAAGATCATCAAGTGATTTTTTTGTAATTAATCAGCTTCAATACAATAAATCAAACTAAATCACCATCATTATTACGCATTTTTTGTATATATTTAGGATTAATAGCTATATCCTGATCTAATAGTTTCAATTTTTCATTCAAACACATACATTTGTTAATCTGTTCTTCAATCATTTTATACATTTGTAATGAATCATATTTTTCCGGATTATCATGAAATTCAACCATTCCATCTTTTTGATTAATCTGTGCAAATATTTCACCATTTTCAATCTTTATTTGTAAAAAGAATAACGCAAAAAAATAATTATTAATAATTCATTGGTTGATTAATTTTTTTTTACTCACCATATGAAGAATTTTCTTTTCCGCTTCTTCAACATTAGGTAAATGTACACGTTGTGCCATATCTTTCAATGATAATGTCATAAATGTTTTGGTCAATTTTTGCATCTTTACTTTGACCAATGAACCGATCACCTGTTTGACAAGGCCAATATTTTGATCATCTTGATAATCATTACGATAAGTATCAAAAATATCATTCAATGTTTCAATCGAACCATTTGTATATGCAGTAATTAACATATTATATGGACCACAAAATGGTTTTACTGAACGATTTAGATAGGTATTCACCTGTTTTGCCATCAATGGTAAAACACGACCATTTTGTAATAATGAAATAAGAATATATTTCTTATATGCTTCAATCGAAATTTGTGAAATGGCCGCACCTGTTACCGATAATACCGTTTGAAAGAAAAGAAAAGCACGTTCATAATTCTGTAGAATTGAATAAATAATTCCACCATAATAATAATATGAAAGAAAATATTTAACATCATAACAATCATTTTCACGGCTTATATCGGTTATATCGATATCAAGAAATGTTAATGCAGGTTTTAAACATTTTCCAATCAATGCTAATTTCAATAGATCCGTATGTATTGATGTTAATTGTGTTGATGATTGTTGTACTTTTTGTATAGCTTTTGATAATGGATCTAAACCTTTTAATGGTTGATCATTATCCATTAGATATTCAGTTAATGAATGACATAAAGATGCAACTGGAATGAGGAAAAAATTATTAGTTTCAATGTGGAAAAAAACGAAATATTGATAAACATACAATCATTCGGTGCATGTTTAATCTGATGTTCATTACAATCATTAATAAATTCAATTATTTGTGATATTGATTGTCTTGATGATGACGACGACGATGATAATAATGATGATGATGATGATTTTGTTGGATTAGCCGTATTATTGTTGGATGAGCTTGTTGTTGATGTCAATAAGGATGATGATGAACTTGTGACACCACCGCCATTTTGGTTATCTTTTTGTTGATTAGTTTGTTGTCGACAAAGTCTAGTGCAAAAAAAAATCAATTTTCAAATTGAAAAAAATGAAAGAAGAAAACTTACAAATATAAAATAGCGACCGTATTCTCTTGGATATCAAGATTTCGAATCAATTCATCAACAATTAATGAATTTTTAAATGATATATCACTAAATATAAACTCGGCCATCTGTGTATATTGACCTGTGTGTGTTTTTTTTGTATTGATCAAAATGATTAAATTCAAACAAAGAAATAAATAAAGAAAAAACAATAAATGAATGAAAACAAACCTTGTAATGAATGTGATCGTATGATGGTCAATAATTTATCGGTCGACATGATGTTTGATGACGATGACGATGGTGTCAATCGATCTTTAACAAAACGTAATAGATCCGTATTCGTCGATGCGAATTGTTAAATTCAAAAAAAAATCAATCAAGTTTTTTGAATTTTTGTTACCACCAAAAAAAAATTGTTGATATTCGAGGAATGAAGCATGCGAAACAGATTTTGCAAATAAAAGAAAAGAAAGACATATCGAACGACAACAACAACATCATCATCATTGTTGAATTGTTTATTCATAAATGACGGGTCAAAACCGTTTGACAATATTGTCTGATGAGAATTCGAATTCACTGATGCAATCATCTGATGCCAGATTTGTTACCCATTTTTTTTCTAATCAATCAGATTGATTAGTTTATTTGAACAGAAAAATTAATCATGTCAACAAGTATAGATCAATCGATGGCAATAATGGAAATTGTTCAATCGATCAATCAGGCCATTACTTCAAATAATTTGTAAGTTTTTTTGTTTTTTTCTCATTTTCGAAAATCGTTTTTGTTTGTTTGTCGTTTTTCTTTTTGTTTAGAGCGCAGTTTAAAGAAATCATTGAACCATATGGCAATGATATTAATCAATATATTATCGAAGATGATGAATCGGATACACAAATGAATATATTGCATATAATAGCATCACGTGAAAATTCAATAGATGTTGATATTCGATCGAATATATTTCATAAATTTATCGATATTATGCGTGGTTATGATCATTTTGATATCGATTATCGTGCATCGATTGATGGTCAATATAATATGACAGCTGCACATATTGCTATTCAATGGCAAAATATATCGATGCTTAAAGCATTAATTTTTCATGGAACAGATCTTTTAATTTGTGATTGTAATGGACAAAATGTACAGGACTATGCCCGGAATGTTGGAAATGATCAATTGTTTCAATTGGTTAAACAATCTATTTATGAATCGATTGAATCACGTTTAGAATTTTCACGTCCAAATCCATATAATCATTATGATCATAATGAAAATGAAAATGATTATTATTATGCTGTACGTCGACCTGTTGCACAAGATAATGTTGATGATTATAATTATCAAATTGATAATGATGATGATGATGTTAATAGTTCTTTAGCTCATCAATCATCATCATCGGCAATATCAAGTATGGACTATCCAAAATCTCCATCAATTGGTCGACAAAGTTCGGCAAATCTTTCATCAATTTCACTCAATCAATTGCCAGTTGATCGTTTCAATTCGAATATATCGATTGCAACATTACCATCGGAAGCAAATTCCACATCATCATCATCGTTTCGTAGTTTTCAAGAACTATTAAATCAAGCATTCTATCATCATCATCATCATCATTCATCACAACAAATTGTGGCCACTACCAATAATGATTCGAATATCAACAAGAATGATGATAATCATCGTAAAGATGAATCAACAATGGTCAATGATAAAGATAAAAAATCTATTATCAATAATAGTTTCGAAACCGTTACTGTATGGAAAGATGATGTTGAATTAGTTGAACATCGATACGAATCTGTTGCTAGTCCATTGAATTTAGATATATCGAATGAATCATCATCATCTACCCAATCAACTGCATCATCGATTGAAGAATTTATTTTAAAAATGAACGATACACAACTTCGACAAGAATTAAATCATGTTGGATTTGAAATTTCTGGTCCATTGAATGCACAAACACGTCGTTGTTATCAACGAAAATTTCATAAACTGTGCAAAGAACATGAACAAAAACAGCAAACTGAAAAATCATCGGTACCAGAAATCAATGAAATATCCACAGATAATAATAATGAAATTCTTACCAAAATGGCTAATTATAATATTGAATTTGATTTGATTCGATCAAGAAAATTTCCATTCATTGAATCACAAAAATATGAAATGCAATTGATTGAACAATTTTCAACAAATAATAATTCCGAATTTTCTACATGTAAAAATGGAAAGAAAAAATTTACAATCAAATCAAATCAAACATATTTTGTTTATTTATTATTGGATCCATCAATAACAAAAAATCTACCTGCACAAGTAAATCTATTGTTACGAACTTGTGATCAAACAATGATGAATAATGATGATAATTCAATGAATAAATTCAGTGAAATGATTAATGATTATAGGCTATTTTATCGATTTATATCATCAATATTTTATGTTGGTAAAGGTAAAAATGATCGTCCATATCAACATTTTATTGATGCATATAGTGAACGTATTAAACAACAAACAACAAAATTGGATATAAAACCTAAAATCAAACGAATCTGGTCAATATGGGATCAAGGTTTAGGACCGATTTCTTTACATGATTGTCAAGGTATTACATCGGATGAAGCACAAACACGTGAAGCATTAATAATAGAAACAATTGGATTATTTAATCTAACTAATCAGATTGCCGGTACATATCGACAACGATTACAATTAAATACAAGACAAAAAAGTCTTCTTGGTACATATTTGTTGTATAAATTTTTTATCATGTATCTATTGGCTGGTGAACGACAGATTCCTATTCCTTGAAAAATATTTTTTGATTGTTCAAGGTATGATCTCAATACACACTTTCTTTCTTTTTTTTTCTTTCATTACGAATAATTCTTTTTTTTTTGTTTAATTAAAAATTTTTGTTATTTTTTTTTTGCAATTTAAATAATTCAAATAAAAACTTTAAAATAAATCGAGATTGTTTTGTTTGTTTTTTACAAGAAATTCATTCGTTTTTCGGGAAAGGGGGGGAAAATGCCAACTTCCAAGTTGTTGTTCACATATGTGAATTATTTGTGTTTAAACAAAAAGCAAAACAATTGAAGAAAAAAAAATGAAGAAGTTCAAAAAAATACAAACACGTGCACAGGTCACACATAAGAAAAAAAACACACACACACAAACAAACACACAAATTACAATAATGAATGATTGATTGATTGGAGAAAAAGTAAAGGAATATTGATTTTTTTTTGGCGCTATTTTTTTTTGAAAAATCCAAAGAAAATAATTTATATGATGATGATCTAAATTGATTGATTTTTTTTTCAAGTTTTCACTGTTTTCTGTAATGTGATTTCGATTTGGAATCGGAATTAAAATTAATTGTGAATGTCTGTCTATGTGTGTGTATGATGTGAAGAAGAAAAAAGAAATATAGGGGGGATGAAAGAATCACATTATTGTTTTTTTTTCAATTCAAAAGATGATGATTATTCGGATTCAAGGTTCAAAGGTGGTAGGCGACAATGTGCAATTATGTTTTCGATTCGATCGATCAATCAATCAATCAATCAGCTGCTTATATTTGTATTTGATTGTTGTTGTTGTTGTCGTCTAATTTGACGACTATTGCTTTCATCATCATCATTAATATCATTATTATTAACAGAGCTGCATAAATTATTCGTCGTCGTCATCATCGATGAATCTTTTGATATATGAAACGTTGATGTTGTAACCGTATCTTGTGGTGGTGGTTTTAAATTCATCACTTTACATATCCAAGGTGCAATATCTAATTTTTCCTGTTCCGAACGTTTTATATATGGATGATTCTAGAATTTTTTTTCCGAAAAAATCAAATAATATTGAATTTGAAAAAATCAAATTACACAAGACACTTACCATTAAACCATTAAGATCCGGTCGTTCACTTGGATTCTTTTTCAAACAAGAATCAACAAAATCTTTAAATTCACGACTAAATACGCTCAATGGTAATGTTGGTGGTGGATCCAAAACAATATAATCCAATTGAGCAAATATTGATAATGGTTGTACGGCTAAATAATCACTACCACCACCACCGCTTCCACTACTATTACTATGATTTGAGCCAAAATTCTGTTGTTGTGATGATGATGATGATTCTGGAATGATTGAAGGTGATGATGTTGTTGATGATGTCGAAGATGATGCTTGTTGTTGTCTTGCCGACGATGTTGTTGATGATGGATGATCTAATTTTGGATCATAAACATCACCAAATATCATACGCAATACTTTTTCATTTGGTGGTGGTATTGGATAACGTCCTAATGCCATTTCGACTACTGATAAACCAAAACTCCATATATCTGATTGTACTGAATAATCCATTCCTTGTAAACGTTCGGGCTAAGTAAACAACAACAACAACAACAAAAGCATTATCATTACTTTCAATTATTATTTAAAAAAAGAAGATAACATACCGACATATAAGAACGTGTACCGACAAATGAATTGGCCATCGAATCGGTTAATTGTCGGCTAACACCAAAATCACAAATTTTTATCTCACCACGTGAATTTACCAATATATTCGATGGTTTTACATCTATATTTTTTTTGAAAAATTACAATTTATCATCATCATCAAAGATAATGTTATGTTTTGAATTACCTCGATGAATAATTTGATGTTTTTCACGAAGATAATTTAATCCTTTTATAACGGCTGTTGCAACTTTACCCAATATATGTTCATCAATACGGCCAGCATTTTTCAATACCAGATCAAATGATCCACCATCCTGATTTTGATGATGGGGGAAAACAAATGTTGAAAATCGATAACGGAAACAAAACAACAAAAAACCTTACCATATATTCCATACAGATATTAATTTCACCATCCGAATAAAAGGCACCATAAAAACCAACAATATGTGGTGAATTACAATCATGTAATATTTTTAATTCTCTTAATATTTGATTACGTATCACAGGTTTAACTTCTAAACGAATCATTTTTCTTGCCATTATTGTTTGTGTTGGACGATGTAATACTTTACTAACAACACCACCATTACCCGAACCTAATGCATGCATTTCAATAAAATCATCGGCACTAACTAGATCACCAACTTTACGTTTGGATAATATAAATGTTTCTAATCGTATACGTTGTTGATCATCTAATTCCAATCCTTCTAATGATCGTAATAATTCATTTAGATTTGCATCTGGTTGATCAACACTAACATTATTGTTATTATTCTGATTATTTTCGGACAATTTTTTCGTTGATTTTTGTTGTTGTTGTTGATGTGGAGGATGATTACAATGATCATTTGATTCATTGTTTTTAATATTTTTTTGTACATGATTTTGATTCGTTGATTGTTGTTGTTGTCGATGGCCTGATGATTGTTGTTGTTGTTGCGATTCTAATGGAATTGATGATGATGATGATGGTGGTTGAAAATAACCACCACCGTGGCCACCATCAATATCATCATTAATGATATTATTATGGATGGCAGATGATGATGAATGATTTTTTGATTGAATTGAATCATTTAATTTCGTTGCCGTCGTCGATATATTTGTAGGATTTTTTGTCGATAATGATGATGAATTGGCCGTTTGACCAATTGTCGATGGTAATGTTAGGCCAAGTTTATTTTTATTATTTGCTAAGCTACTCATTTTTTTACTTTGTTTTGGTTTTCTTTTGTCAAAAAATTCACATGAAATAACAATAATAATATCAAAGTTATCGAAGATTAAGAAAACCAAATATCAATCAACAACAATTTGATGGGCAAAAAATAATGTTAGGATTTTTCAAACAAACAAAAACTTCAAATTCATTTTCGGTTGATAAATTGATTGATGCAAAACAAATCACAACAAAAAACAAATAAATCAGATGATTTTTGCTGAAAACCAAAAATAAAGATTTCGTCGTCGTCAAATTTACATAACTTGTAACCGAGAACTTTGGTTTTCTGGTTTTTTTTTTGATTAAATTCTTTTTAGGTGTTTATCATTTTTTTTTGAGCATTGTCTTCAACCATTGCCAATTTGTGTGGTAATAGTGTTGTGGTGGTGGTGGTGGTGGTGGTAGTGGCTTCGAGCACCTTTAAATGATGACGGTTAATGATGGGAAACCAGAATTTGGTTTTTTTTTCTGAGGATTTTTTTTTTCGGTAAAGTTCATCATCATCATTATTTATTATCTTAACATTTTTTTCTTTGGTAAGTAGTGGTACGGGAATTGTTGTTGATGTTTTTTTCCTTTTACTCGGGAAATTGTATCGATCTATATATAAAAAAGATGTAATCAAAGGTTTTCTTTGATTTTTGCTTCTATTTTTTTCTTCTTTCGAATTCGTTGGGGTCTTTTCATAAAAGACGTTTTAAAACATTGTACGTTATTTATGATTAGATGATTTAAAAATGTTCGGTGTGTGATTGTTTTGCTTTGTCATTCTTGGCTTTTGTGTGTTTGTTTTGCGTCAATTTTTGTTTTCTTGAAATATTTTTTGTTTTCAAAATCAGATTTTTGATTTGAATATCAATATAAAAATATGGCTACCGATGTTAAAATGGAAGAAGTATCCGATGTAAGTTTTTATCTCAGAGTTTTTTCCAAATTAATCATTTTTTCATTAAGGATTTACCCGAAGAAATTAATCGTTGGTCAAAAGATGAAATTACAAGTCGTACAAGATTATTGGATAATGAAATAAAAATAATGAAAAGTGAATTGATGCGTGTTAATCATGAATTAAATTCACAGAAAGAAAAAATTCGTGAAAATACTGAAAAAATTAAAGTAAATAAAACATTACCATATTTGGTATCGAATGTTATCGAATTATTGGATATTGATCCACAAGATTTAGGTGAAGAAGATGGTGCAAATGTTGATTTGGATGCACAACGTAAAGGTAAATCGGCTGTAATTAAAACATCCACTCGACAAACCTATTTTCTACCGGTAATCGGTTTGGTTGATCCGGAAAAACTTAAACCAGGCGATCTAGTTGGTGTTAATAAAGATTCATATCTAATTTTGGAAACATTACCCGCCGAATATGATTCACGTGTAAAAGCAATGGAAGTTGATGAACGTCCAACTGAACAATATAATGATATTGGTGGCCTAGAAAAACAGATTACCGAATTAATCGAAGCAGTTGTATTGCCAATGACACAGAAAGAAAAATTTGAAAAATTAGGTATATCACCACCAAAAGGTGTATTATTATATGGTCCACCAGGAACCGGTAAAACATTATTGGCTCGTGCATGTGCTGCACAAACAAAATCAACATTTTTAAAATTAGCTGGTCCACAACTTGTACAGATGTTTATCGGTGATGGAGCGAAATTAGTACGTGATGCATTTGCATTGGCCAAAGAAAAAGCACCGGCAATCATATTTATCGATGAATTGGATGCAATCGGTACTAAACGTTTTGATAGTGAAAAAGCTGGTGATCGTGAAGTACAACGTACAATGTTAGAATTATTAAATCAATTGGATGGTTTTAGTTCAAGTACGGATATAAAAGTTATTGCTGCAACAAATCGTGTTGATATACTTGATCCGGCATTATTACGTTCCGGACGTTTAGATCGTAAAATTGAATTTCCAACACCAAATGAACAGGCACGTGCACGTATTTTGGAAATACATTCACGTCGTATGAATGTTGATCAAGGTGTTAATTTTGATGAATTATCACGTTGTACTGATGATTTTAATGGTGCACAATGTAAAGCTGTTTGTGTTGAAGCCGGTATGATTGCATTACGACGTAATGCAACCGTTATTAATCATGAAGATTTTATGGATGCAATTAATGAAGTTGCAGCAAAGAAAAAAGCTAATCTTAATTATTATGCCTAAAAATGAATGAATGATGGATTTTTGTAAATTTTTTTTAAAATTGTCAAGAAATTAAAATTTTTTTTTTTAAACTGAATTTTATTTTTTTGCATACATTTTCATGATAAAAAAATAAAGATTTGGACATAATATTCGTATAATAACAATGATTCGATGTAAAAAAGGTGCCAGTAAACATTCCTGATCATTATTTAATAACATTTCAACAGCAATTGCAGCAACATATTCTGGTTTATAACCAGATTCAGTTGTTGAATCCATTCGACCATATTTTGATCCATCTGAATTCATTGCATTCATCGAAATATTTGTTTGTATATAACCAGGTGATAATAATGAAATTAGAATTTTCGGTGCAATTAATGATAATTCGGAACGTATAGAATCATACCATGCACGTAATGCATGTTTTGATGATGAATATGAACTACGAAATGGTACTGGTAATCGATCTTGTATTGAACTTATTGCCAATATTTTTCCATTCATATTATTGTTGATCATTGATTTGAGAATAATTTTCGTAAATGCAATATGACCAAGAAAATTTACTGTCAATAATTTTTCATCAACATCGATAACGGTATCCAATGCTTGTGCACGACTAGAAATACCGGCATTATTGATAAGAATATCTAGTTTATATTTTTCAGTAATTTTTCGGGCAACAATTTCCGATTGTTCAACAGAACCTAAATCTAATCGTATGATATTAGGTTCGTTTGGAAAACCATTACCAATAGCTAAAAATTCTTCTTTTACACGTTCCAATTCATCTGTACGTCTTGATGCTAATATAATATTACAACCATGTTGATAAAAAATTCGGGCAATTTCTTTACCCAGGCCAGATGATGCACCTGTTATACAAACATTTTTTCCATTCAATTGTTTGAATGCTTTTTTTGTAAAACATTTAATTCTTGATCGATTTCGTAATGATCGATAAATAATGATCAATAACAATGAAATAATGGTAACAAATAAATTCATTTTTGAAAAATATTCGAAAAAATCCGCTGATGACAATTGTACCTGTCAATGGACAGAAACATAATAACAATAATTTTGAGCACTAGATGGCGATAGTTTTGTCTGAATTAACATTCGAATATTCGAATGTATTTTTTCGATCAACAAAAAAAAAAAAAAATTCTGACATTGAAAATTTTGAAATGATTTTTTTTCACAAAAATCAGAATCGATAATATTCTGCCGCATTTCATATGATAATGATGGTGGTGGTGGTGGTAAGATCATGAACCATTTTGTTTTTTTTTTCATTCTTTTATTTTTTGTCGCGGCATTAATAATCGATTCGATAGTAAATGATAAATTATTCAGATTTTTTTTCAAAATGATTTGGGTCAATAAAAATTTTTTCAAGAAAAAGAATTTGTACTTTTTCAAACTTTCTGATGAATGTGATAGTAAACAACAACAATTTAGACTGATAAATGATATGAATGACAAACAAAGTCGATAAAAAATTTCATTGTATTTTTTTTTTGCGGAAAAATTATTATTATGCAACAAAGTTGTTGTTGTCTGAATGAGAAATAAATGATTGACATGATTGCCATCACATGATTGTTTTTTTTCTGCTTGAAACGACGACGACAACAACAACAACAACACCCGATGATTATGATGACGATAATCGGAATTTAAATTCTTCCGATTTTTTCCCCACTCGATAATTTCATTCAACGAATTGTGGTGAAACCTGAAAAAAAAGAAAAGAAAAGAAAAAATTTAGAACGAAACAAAAAATTTTCATATGAAAACCAACAAACATTTCATGTCTATATTCAGCGTTGATGACATTAATCATGTCAAAATGGATTCGAAAATTGATAATAAAATATCCAAACAACAACAAACAAGTGGATTTCCAGCGTGGATGGAACGAACAAAATTGGATCATTTACATCCATTAATCAAATTATTTATTCCATTAAAAAGTTTACAATATTATAATGATTATTATGGTTTTATTCGTATTGCGCATCGTCGAAATCGAATAAATGGAAAATTATTAAATGAAAATTTATATAATCGATTATATCGATTCTATCAAACAATGGTTACTGTACAATTATTGAAATTCGTTCATCTAATTATACTTTATCTATCAAGAAATTATACTGATAATATGATCAAAGTTTTGCAAGGTGATTTATCCGATCTATTTCAAATGAATCAATTTATACAATTATTAACAGCANGTTAGAGGGGGATAGTTTTATTTTAATTAAAATTCGAAAATTCGAATTTTTTTTTTCGAAAAAAAAAAAAAAAAAAAAAATTCTGACATTGAAAATTTTGAAATGATTTTTTCTTTGCACAAAAAAAAATCAGAATCGATAATATTCTGCCGCATTTCTCATATGATAATGATGGTGGTGATTGTGTAAGATCATTTTGCTTTTTTCATTCTTTTATTTTTTGTCGCCGCATGGATAATCGATTCGATAGTAAATGATAAATTATTCAGATTTTTTTTTTAAAAAAAAACTGAAAATGATTTGAGTCAATAAAAATTTTCTCAAGAAAAAAAATTTTTTTTGTTCTTTTTCAAACCATTCTGATGAATGTGATAGTAAACTACAACAACAACAATTTAGACTGATGGCAAACAAAGTCGATAAAAAAATTTCATTATTATGTAACAAAGTCAAAGTTGTTGTTGTTGTCTGAATGAGAAATAAATGATTGTCTTTTTCTCTGCTTGAAACGACGACAACAACAACAACACCCGATGATGATGATGGTGACGATAATCGGAATTTAATTTCTTCCGATTTTTTTCCACTCGATAATTTCATTCAACGAATTATGGTGAAACCTGAAAAAGAAAAGAAAAGAAAAAATTTAGAACGAAAAGAAAAAATGAAAACCAACAGACATTTCATGTCTATATTCACCGTTGGTGACATTAATCATGTCAAAATGGATTTGAAAATTGAAAATAAAATAACCAAACAACAAATAAGTGGATTTCCAACATGGATTGAACGTACAAAATGGGATCATTTACATCCATTAATCAAATTATTTATTCCAATAAAAAGTTTACAATATTATAATGATTATTATCGTTTTATTCGTATTGTGCATCGTTGTAATCGAATAAATGGAAAATTATTAAATGAAAATTTATATAATCGATTATATCGATTCTATCAAACAATGGTTACTGTACAATTATTAAAATTCGTTCATCTAATTATACTTTATCTATCAAGAAATTATACTGATAATATGATTAAAGTTTTACAAGGTGATTTATCCGATCTATTTCAAATGAATCAATTTATACAATTATTAACAGCATTTCCAATGATATGGGGTTTGAAAAATTTTGAACAACTTTTTATTCGTCCATTTCATATTGGTAATTTTATATTATCGGATCTTTTATTTTCAAATAATCATCCCGAACAAAGATATTTTATGCAACCATATAAAATTTATGGTTATTCAGCTATTAATTGTTTAAAATGGATTGGTTGGTCATGTACAAATAGTGTACAGATTTTTATACCAATTTTACGTAAGTTTTGTTTTTGTTTTTTTCTTCATTTCAAAATTATTATCAATTTTTTTTTCTTTTCTTCCATAGACATAATGACAATGATACTTTTCTGTACTGAAATTGAATATTTAATCGAAAATCGTCAATATTTTCATTTGGATGATCTAACATCATTATATTCGATTATAATATTATTATTATTAATTTTACTTATAATAATTGTTACAATTATTGGTCATTGGTTAATATTTTTCTTTATAAATACAACCGTTTTAATGGGCTGTCAGGTTATAATGACAATATTTTTCTTATGGGTACGTTTATGGCAAGCTGAACATTATCTTCGTTCAATAATGAAAAAATCTGATATCTATACTGTACAATGTTCATTGAAAAAATTTATAAAATTTCAACGACAAACATTAATGTTTATATTTATGGCCGATAAATTTTATAGTAAATCATTTTTATGGATAATGTTTATAACATTACCAATAAATAGTTTTGGTATTATTGAATTGGTTTGTGGTTCAGCAACAAAATTTATAATATTATTATTAGCATCACATGAATGGATTATAATATTTGGTTTACATTTATTAGTGGCAAAAATTAATGAACGTATTTATTTATCAAATAAATCAATGTTTGGTTTATTAACAAGAAAACGTCGTTGTTTAGTTCAACAACAATCAAATAGTGGTAATGGTGGTAATGATAGTAAGGATCATTCATTTCGTTTAAATTTACAATGTAATTATTATCTACAAACAATGTATACTGAAAATCGTTATGGTTTTACATATGGATCAATTTGTTTAGTTTCGATTCAATCATTTGTAATGGTAAGAAGTGGTTGTAATTTGTAATGTTTTTTTTAAAAAAAAATTAATTAACAAATTTCAAAAATTAAAAAATCGTTTTTTTCAATTACAGTTAACCATTGGTTATGTTGAAGGAACATTATTTATTTATAAATTATTTAATAATATTTGATTCATTCATTTCATTTACCATCATTATTATTATCGTTATAATTTTTATTGATAAATAATCGTATCCGTATACCGATCGACCAGATAAACATTACATATGCAATAATCATAATCCATGAATTAATATTTGCTAATAATCGATACAATCGATAATCATCATTATCATTATAATTATAATATGGCCAATATCGTCGAAAACGTCCACGTTCATAATAATGAAATTTGGAAAATTTTAAAACAAAAATAATGAAAAATAATACACTCAACCAAGCCGAAATAGTGTATATGATTGTAATGATAAACATTGATATTGGTTTTGTTTCAATATGGCCATAATCATTCAATTTTTTTGTTAAATAACACTGTTTTGTTTTGAAAAAAAAGAAACAAAAAAAAAATTTTAGATAAAATAAACCTTGTTTTTTGGTCTTTTTGTTTACCATAATAAACATATAAACAGTTGTCCAAAAATACATCCACAAAACACCGATTGAATGAATGATTAGCTGTTGATTTGAATGAAAATTTAACCAAATTAATGTACCGATTATTGATAGAATTGCAGCAATTAATGCAAAATGATTTTGTCGTAATAATTTTTTCAATTGTATTTCATTATTATCATTATTTTGATTCAATTGAATATTTTGAAAATAAAATTTCAATTGTTTATAACGATAAACAATAGTTATGATGAATAAAATGATTAGAATATGATTGATAAAGGAAAAATAACCTGGGAATAATCGACCAAAATTACCAATATCAGTTATATATGGTGGAATCGATGAATGATAATTCGTGTAAACAATAAAATAACCGACCAAAATATTAAATAACCACAGAAAACCATAAATCATTGGTAAAATCCATAGAAAATAATGCCATTTTTTCGTTTTGTTGGACATTTTTTTTTGTTTGTTTGTTGTTGATGAACATTGGATGTCATTTGATTCGTTAAGATTTACAAATGATGAAAAAACAAACGAAGAAAAACGATCCAAAACTTACTAAGGTGTGTCAAATGATGACGACAGTCATCATAATTATCAATGAATAATCATCATTGTCATCCAGAGAAAAGCAACCATAGGTTATAATCTTGTTCATTTTTGACAACAAAAAATGAAAACAATGAAATTTTTTAATTTTATTCATAAAGGTAAAATGACAAAAAAAGGAACAAGGTGATTTTTTCAAAAAGATTCGAATGTAACAAAATGTGAATGTAGTGGTTCGATTAGTTGATTATTATATTAGAACATTATCTGATTCCAGCCATGAAATAAACGCATACGACGACTAATTGAACATAAAAATGGAATATACATTATAATACCGATCCATTGTGAAATTGTTGATACTAGATGCCAATCATAACCATCCATATTTGATAACCAAAATAAACGTAAACGATTATTCATAATATCATCCGATGATTTTAATTGTGTAATCGATACAATACCGGCAATGATTGAAACAATTGCTGCAATAGTATGAATAATTGCCGAAATATACATTGTTATTGGTTTCGATTCAATTTCACCATAATCATATAATTTTCGACTCAAATGACACTGTGTGTTTAATAATAATAACACAGTGATTAATCATTAGAAATTATAAAGGTTTGTAACTTACCATTATAAACATATAGACAATAGTGAATATAATGAATATTGATAAAGCAATCCAATGAATAATAAAATGTTCAGACATACGAAACGATCCCATTGTAATTGCAGCAAAAATCAGTATAAAATTCAATAAAAATGAACAGAAATTTCTTTTCTGTAATTTTACAAGAATTTTTTTTGCATGTTTATTATTATTTGTTTCTTTTTCAAATCCACTGATTAAATATAATGATATTTGTTTATAACGACAATATGTTGTTATTATAACTGTGGTAGGGAGGGAAGGATAAAAAAACGATAAACAAAAAGAAGAACGAATTAATCGATACAATCGATATTATTATATTCAATGAATTTATATATTTACAAAGAAATGAAATGATTGTAATAAATTCAGTAAAATAGCTTGCATATGGTTTTGTTGAACCTAAATCACTTGGATATGGCCATATTGGTTCAATCATTTCGTTGGTTGTCAGGTAAGCATAACTATTTTAAAGATTTAATTAAAAATGTGTGAATTAATTGATTTGATCATCGATTATCGATTGGCTTTACCCGATAATTAAATTCAATAGAATGAATAATACGGCCAATAATGGTATAATCCATAGATATTGTTTAAATTGACGATGCATTTTTTGCATCTTTGTTAAATCATAATCACTCATACTGGATTCGGAACTTGAACGTGAATTTGAACCAGTAGCACCAGCAGTAGCACCAGCAGCCATTCAAAAAAAAAAAAAAAAAATTCAAACAAAACAAATATTCGCAACAACGAGAAAAAAAAATCGATGATGATGCTCAAAAATCAAATGAATGAATGAATTTTGAATCTAGCCACGGGCAACAAATCAAACAAACAAACAACGATGATTATTATTATGGGCATTTACAATCACCATTTTGAACAACAAACAACAACAACAATTTTTTGGAATAACCAAACAAGGCGTCAACATTCAATTCAATTCAAACATTCATTCGATTCAATTTGAATACATCTCATCATCATCATCATTATAGCCATATAAACATTCGACAATGATGACGATGACGACGACGACCACACGTATTATTATTACATATGACAGGTGTGCTTGTTTGTTTGTTTGTTTGTGATGATCATTGGAAACAAAAGATTCACCATTATCATCATCAGACAACATTGTGATCGTGATCATTAACGATGGAAGAAAAAAAATTGAATAACCTTGTTGCTTTATGCTTTAGTGTCAAGCGCAAACAAACAAAAACAATTTTCATTTTTACAATTAGCTTCCGATTCTGTTTCGAATAATGAACAGGAAAATAATAATAACTATCCGAAGTTGGTTTAATTTTACCTGGTTACACACACACACACACACACAGAGATAATGATCATCGCATTATCATCATCGTTTTTGTTTGGCTAATTTTCATAATAATCCATAATGCAGGCCTACCTGGCTAAAAATGGACAAAAAAACTCCTACACACAGAAAATCTCTTTTCTTTTTTTTTCAATAAAAACTTGAACATCATCGAATTGAATTTGGAAAAAAAACTGACATAAATTTTGCAAAAAAAAAATGTCCTTGAAAGAAAAATGAAAAGGCGCCATTATTATGATTATTTTTTTTGAGAATGAATCGTTCGTTCGTTGGTGTTGTTTTTGAATTGAAAACTTTCTGAATGCGAAGATGTGTGAATTGGCTACCAATCTTTCTCTCTCTCTCTCTCTCTCTCTCTCTCTCTCTCTCTCTCTCGAGGTCAGCCGCTTTAAAAAAATCTTTTTTCTTTCTTTTTTGAAAA